ATGGAAGCAGTTTCACGTGTTTTACAGCACGCTCGTGACAGTCCATGTCTGGAGGATAAGAAATACGCTTTCAGTGAGTAGAAATCAGAGAGGAAAAATGGGCCATTTTTTTTTAAAAAATTTGCTAAGTAGAGCAAAGTGAAGACATTTTTTTATCTGTGATATTTTGGAACCTCTGACCATCCTCCTGATCATTTTCTTCTCCATACATGTGTGCTACGAAGTAGAAAACCGATCTGAGAAAGAAAAACGTTAAGAGAAAGAAAGACGCAAATCAAAAGTCGCAAATGAAAGAATGCCACCGCTTCACTCGAACTGGCTGAGCTTTCAAAGAAAAATGGCTCGTTTTTCTCTCTGATTTCTTCTCACTGAAAGCGTATTTCTTATCCTCCAGACATGGACTGTCACGAGCGTGTTGTAAAACACGTGAAACTGCTTCCATTGAGACACTAACTTTTGAAGAAGTTTTGATTTCCGTACCCGTCTGGATAAAGTCGTATTATTTTCTCACGATACGGCGCTTATCTCGGTCGGATAGTAATCAGGGTTCTTCCCAGAATCATATCCTGTAGCTCGTTCGTATGAAGCCACCCCGACAAATTCTAGCGTGAGCTGACACTTCAACAACTGCTGCGTCTCTTTTGCTAGGGTTTTCCTTTTACGGAAGTTCGACAGCGGTTTTGCCTTTGCTATAAGCTAAGGGACTTGAGTGGGTAATAATTTCAAAATTTGATTGGGTAAAAGCAAAATGCAGCAGAGAAACATGTGGTGGAACTATGATTTTGCGTCATAGGCAAGTCGGGTATTTTCGAAAAAATGAGGATAAAAATTTTTTGCTTTCTCAAACTGGATTTCCGTGATAATATTCAGATTCGCATTTGCATGTGTCACAATTTGTCTGTAGAGCCCTTTTCAAACCGCTGGCATTCTCCAAATTCTAGTTTTTGGGAAATTTGTAGGTGGAATAGTTATGACGTCGCAGCTGTATATGGTTCGGAGTGCGCGACACAGAGGCATTGGTTGCTTCTAGTGCTGAACAATAGAACTACTGCTAGATAGCCCTTATGCTGAATAGAATATGGTCCAGAACATGTAAGCGTTGTCCATTCGGGTTCATTATCCTTGTATTAAGTTGAGTTTGTTCGATGGAGTGCTTTAGATGTTAGAGTGTGCACTTTTGGCTATGTAAAATGCGTTCCCATTCTGAGATCCGATTGATGCTAGTTCTACAGATTGATTTATGTCTACAGATGGCAGTGTGTAGTTGTTTTTTTAGGATTGATCTGGGTCACCATTTTTATGTGATAGGCGAATTATGTTGGGATTGGACTTGCCCCGTACGTGCGTATGAACTTGCAGTTGGTGGAGTGCGTCATTCTCTTGTAAGAGTTGCGCTCGGAACTCCTGCTGTAGAATGTGACACTAGTCAAATTTTTTGAACTTAGGGGCAAATTCAAGACAACCCCTCCTGATGTTGTTCCTGTTTTTCGAGCTTCGAAGAGGTCACGGTACCTTCACTCCATTGCTCATCAAAGATCTTTCCATTCCGTGTCTCTCAAGTCCGATCATACGGTGCAAAATCCGTTGTGCTTCTTCCTCGCAGTAGAGATCATGACGGCATGTCTCGAGCAAGGTTGGAGCGAACTACGTGCATTGAATTTTTGCAATTGTATGGTGCAAGCAGTCAGATACCCCACTTCTGTTCTTCTTCTACGATGACCACCGGTCTGATTTTCCGCCTTCAACTGTGATCCAGCGCCGCCGGACTAAAGAAGGATTCTTCAGAGGATTGTAAAGGCGAGTAGCTGAAAGAGTACAGACTTGTTCCATGAGACAAGCCGTAGGCTACGGCATTTAATGGGTCAGCGAGCATTCAGTTCATTGGGTGTCGATTTCACTTCCACCCCAGCCTGTCTCGACATCGGCGGAGCTCTAGATGACCACAGTAAAGGAAAAGACGGATTTCTAGTCAACGATCAACTAATGCGAGACTGTCGGAGAAATATTTCGAAGAACAGTTAATGTAGAAGTAAATGAACAAACACTTTTTCGTTCAAAAGAAAACATCGGACGATGAATGGTTAGATTTATTATCAATCAGTATCCAAGTGCGAAGCTATAAAACTGTTTCTTTCCCGTCGCATTCAACCGTGACAAAGTTGATAATCGGCGACATCTCTTTCGCTCCCGTGATGAAGCTTCTCAACTGAAAAAATTATATTCGTAGATTAGGCCTTAACAGAGAAAGGGGTCCCACCTAGGGGACATAGAACATTGGAAAATTATATTAGTTACAAACCAGTTTAGCTCCGACGCCTATCGCTCGCATCACATTGTGAGCTGCAGTAAAACTGGTCAGTCTATGAAGCCTCTCACGGCTAACGTTCCACTTATAAAGTGAAAGAGGCAGAGCCCCAATCGCGGACGGAGTCAGTTGGTGCGGGGCATTAATGGGGTACTCCTCTTTGCCTCTTCGGGAGGAGGGCGAACCAATAAGAAAGAGTGCGCTGCTTCAACGACTCCGCCCACACTTTAGGCCGAATGTCGCTTTAAAGGAGTCAAGCGTATAGGAGTACCTCCTTGGGAGTATTTAGTGTATGCGCTTTGTGCCTAGTCTCACAATGAAAGAAAATTCGTCGCTGAAGCGCACAGTTGTCTATAACCAGAATGAGAGAGGTTCTCAGAACGTTGTGGCGTTTACCTGCTCACATCCCACATCGACGACGGCGTAGGTAACTGCGAATTTCCCACCGACGTTTCCCGGTCTCTCATCAATCAAGTTGTTGTTGGTTATCAGTCCTTCTTCTTGTGCATGCTGCTCAATCTGAATCGTAGCGTTACTCTGAACTTCTTTAGCGCTTAATAATTCTCAGAATAGCTATCGGGGACAATGAGCGACTATGACGAACCGATTCGGTGTTGCTCTCTATTGGTAGCCAATTGCTTACCGCGGATCTGACCACTCCCATGTACGAGTTAGTCAATTCCGGATCGTAATTTTGGTGGGTGACAACAGTCACTTCTGCTTCGTGAACTTCACGTTTGGCTTTCTTGGAAGAAGCAGCACCGCCAGCAGCACCGCCACCACCTGCTGCGCACCGCGGCGGCGTCTGTTAGCGCAGCTCTGATAGAAAAGATGTTATCCTCAATTGGCGAGACCAAAATATGATTTCCTAGGCCTAAGATTTTGCAAGGACCAAACCAGCAGTCTTGAGAGTAACCACGATCTCTCAGTGACTTACCAGGGAAAGAGCGACGAAGCTGAGAAGGACAACCAAACGGAACATGTCGATTTGATGCTATGCTGAAGCCTGGCCACCGTCGATCCCTTTTATTCATGCTGAAGGGCGGTTTGATCAGTATCGAGTCCCATCACACTGTCATGAAGATGTTTACAGATGAGCACCGTTTCTGATTGTTAACATTTATCATCCATTTTGCGCCATTGAGGAAAGTATTTGGGAGAAAATTGGGAATATTGTGGGCATCGCAGTGCATCCGGGTTAGTCATGTTTGAATGCATAAATCTGAGACGCAGGTCGTAGAGAGGGCTAAACTTCTCTTCGGGGAAGATATGAGTCGGGTTAGGACGAGCAGAAGAGATGAGGGTTCGGAGTAAACGACGGCATTGCGAGGAAGGGGCAAAAGTACCCGTTGTTAGGTACAAAGTTTCTCTGATTACGCGAACGTCAGCGAGAGTAATAAGCACTCTTTTCGCTTGGGAAAGTCTGTGGAAATGGAGTGTAAGCAGGGGTGCTACCATGACATCGGTTCGATGCGTCAAATTTGGGTTGTGCGCCCTACAGACACTTTCATCAATTTCTCCGTCTGGTTTGAAGGTTATCCAGAATTGTCAGGATGGAAGATTGCAAGCACGCTGATTGTATTATCCTGGTGTCGGTAGATGAGGTATTTGGCGTAATCGGCACTCGTAAATATTACACCGATCAAGTTCTGAGATGGAAGTGAAAATGCATGCGTTTACTTACAGAAGTCCAAGGGGGTTTGTCGAACAAAATGCTCAATTTAGGATCCATTGTTATGAGAGGCTTAGAGGGAATGAATATTCTAGCGGTTTTAAATTCCTTCAAATAAGCTTCTACATTTAAAACAGCCAAGCAGATTTAAAACTAGTGCAGAGAAATAGACGGTGAACTCAAACTCACTTTTCATCATCCATACTGTAGCAAAAATAGATGGTATGTACCAACCAATAAAACAGAAAGGTTCACTACTGCTGTCCAGAATGAGAAATGACACCTCCATGACAAAAAACTAGATGTGTGGAAGTTCTGTGGGAAAGTTCTGAAGTTAGACTTTGGTACCTAATAGTACGGTACTTGTTTGAACTTCCTCGAAAGCGTCGTTTACCGAAGTTCTCAGATTCGTTCTGCTCGTCCACCCTGACTCATCCAAATGTGGACCAGGTTCAATGATACCTAAGGGTTCAATGATGCCACAATATTCCCAATTATTCTCCCAAATACTTTCCTCAATGGCGCAAAATGGATGATAAATGTTAACAATCAGAAAAGGTGCTCATCTGTAAACATCTTCATGACAGTGTGATGGGACTCGATACTGATCAAACCGCCCTTCAGCATGAATAAAAGGGATCGACGGTGGCCAGGCTTCAGCATAGCATCAAATCGACATGTTCCGTTTGGTTCTCCTTCTCAGCTTCGTCGCTCTTTCCCTGGTAAGTCACCGAGAGCTCGCAGTGTAGAAACTGTTTCAGTGTAGTCACCGAGAGCTCGCAGTGTAGAAACGCAGGGGTATCACGGTCCTATGAAGCAACCTTTTTCTGTCATCTTCCAAAGCTGGGGGAGGATTGAATCAGGGATGGGGAACGTGCACCGTGGGGAGGGATTGAATACGGCCCCAAACAAGGTTTGCACCGAGTGCTGGGTTACGCTGACTTCATGAAGGAATAAGTAGTTGGTAGGGCACGCCATGAACTTGAATTCCAATAAGATTTCGTGGAGGCATATGAATGCATCGTTGTTAGGATCATCGGTTTTATTTCGCACTGGAGGGTAGGCCACTTGGTCTACTAGTAGCGGAACGTTGGTCGAACTGAAAAATATGATATAGACTGTGTACGCCCGATCAGAAAGTTTCACTTTCACAAGGAATTTCGATGTTCCCCTCACTCTTTAGAATCCTCGCGTATTCGCTTCGATACCTTTTTGTTCGACTCTGTTGCACTTTACGACTCGCATGACTAGCAGTGCTTATAATTCACTTCACAGACACATGGATTGTTTGTTGGGCAAGAAGTGTCGACGTCAGCAGCCGCAAGGATTGTCGGGAATGTCGTCCTATCAGAAGCACATCGGATGCTGTCTTACACAACATCATATTTTACTGTGTCGATGACATTCTTGTGCTGAACAAGCGGTCTTCCATGCGAAAGACGGAAAGACAGAATCAACAGCCTGGAGCAGGGTGAATTTTTGCGAACCTTCTCTTTTGAGAGCAGTTCTTTTTACAGTATCGACTAAGTATAACAGTATAACTAGACAGTATGAAGGTTGGGATGGGCGCATCTACACCGGAATATTCGGCAAAATCCTCGGAATTGGTGAGGAAAGGGGAATTTGATTATCTGTACACACTGTGTGCGTCAGAATAGGCTGAGGAAAAGCTCAGCGGCGGCGCGGACGCGAGCGCGTGCTGGTGACGTCAAAATGACGCACCAGCACGCGCGCAACTGCGGGTTCAAAGAAAGTGTAAGCAGTGGGCGGCCTTGCTGCCACTTTGCTCAAGTAGGGCTGGTTTTTAGCATGCTCGCCTAGAAATTAAATTTTTGAAAATGTGGCGAAGAAGTTGGGGCTGGGCTGTTGGTGACAGAGGGCTTGGGCAGGGCATTGAGTTGGGAGAGGTTGGACTATGCGCCAAGATCCGGGTCTTTGAGAGTCGATTCCTTATTTGGACTTGGGGTGTTTTGGGGGGTAGGTTGGCGTGTATACTATTAGCAACTGAGACACGGGGCATACATAGATGCATAAGGTAGTTGGTGCAGAGCTGGCCCTTTCTCACGTCCTGCGCGACCCTGTACGGTTCACGCAAAAGCGAACGCGTCCACAGCGCGGTTGGGCTTCTTCCAGACCGTCCGTTTGGTATACGAGGCGATACGTTGTAAGGAGCGATCGGGAATGAGATGAAGCAGAACCTGCTATGTTTTTCTTGCTTCTGCAGAGCTGAAAGGGGCCAAACAAGCGAAATGGATGTTGGTGATCTTACAATGGTCACCGCTTACAGCTAAACTGTCGTTTTGTAGAACGGAATTCGAAAAAATTCGAATCTTAGAGTGACTTTAGGGGGCTCAAAATACCGCTCTTCATGACAGCTCACGACAGCCATCTTCTGTACCTGAACGTCGTCAACGGCTGAAAATTGTTTACCTCATGGTAATGTATTGTAGCTACACACACAATGAATCGCTCCTTCCGCTAGGTTTTAGTATCAGTTTTTCTGTAGTTTTCCAGAGATTATTGTTTGTGCTCTGAAGCCCAGAGTAATGATTCGCAAGATCTGTTCTTCTTACCCTTTGTTGCCTATCGAAGTTGAGAAGGAGCTCCTGAGAAAAGAATCAGTGTGAGACACTTTGGGCACTGACTGGTGGTTAAAGGCAGGTGTTGTGCCAAAGAGGCCATAAAAGTCAGAGTTAAAGAAACCATAAAAAACGTTGGTCGGAGTTGGAAGGAGATCTTCTTCTTGTGAGGGTAACCGTGGTAAGGCTGATCTACGCAGGATAGTGAGGAAATGGTAAACAAAAGAGGCAACGTCGTTCAACGAGGCGCAGACAGCGCGTATCCTGCGAACGGCAGAAATTAGCGGTCGCAGCGGTCGAAACAAGCCTTTGGTGCTCTGTTGCGCACTTTCGAGTCAAGTTAGTGATGAATGTAGGCTGACGGCCGCTAGGAGACGAAGCTCTCGGGGTCATTCCTTACGTAGTTTACGCCAAGCATTCGACTTCCACTAAAAATTGCAGTAGTATTTAAATGCGTATCTTGTATAAGTTGAGGATAGCTCATGGAAAGTTGTTGAAGTCATCAAAAGACAGGCGCCAGTAGATCACGAGAAGTCACAGAAAATGCCGATAGCGATAACCTATCGATAATCACCATCACATGTTCACCTTTTGCGTGCCCTCGGATCAGTCAATTCCTATATGTGCACATACCTTTTCTCTTCTTTTTTTCGTGTTCCTAGTTTCCTATCTTTTTTTTGCTCTTTGGAGAAAGCATTTCGACAGCACTTCCTATTTGCTTCTGAGAGCTCAAAATTCGAATAATGAACCTGAGAGCCAGAATTCTGTAGTTTTTTTTTTAGGTTAAACCGCGTTATGGCACTTCAAGGGGATTCATTTTGATGCGAGAGTTCGACTACTTGTTTCCAATTTTTGAAGTGGGAGCAAGCTCCGGGGTGGGTGAACCAATTTTGGTGAAATTTGTTATGTCGCTTGAGTACGTTGGGACCTGCGCGTCTATATGACCCCTCCCCCCCACGCAGCTCCACCTGAGCCAGCGCGCAATGTGTTCTAAACAGTTCTTAGCAGGTTTTTCATTCTGTTCCGTTGCTCATGGACTGCAACAAATTCATTTTCGAGCGTAATGACGCACACGTATTCTATCGCGCACTGTGCCTTCAAGTGCATATTTTCTTTAGCAGTCATTTCGTTGGCTTATTTTCGGTAACAGTGGGTAACTTAGTGGGGGGGGGGGACCACGCGGCGGCGCGGCGCTTTGCTCGCCTGGATCTTGCCTAACTGTGGGAAGCGTGAGCCGTGGTCTGTAGGCAGATCTAGGGGGTGGGGGGTGAGGGCAGTCACTTGACATGCGTGAAAAGCTGGAATGTTCGAGTTCACACTATCTCGCTCGAGAGAGCGCCAGGCGGAGCAAAGCGCCGCGCCGCCGCGTGGTCCCCCCCCCAACTAAGTTAGCACCTAACAGTGTTACGGTTT